AGCCCTAGTTATGTAATGCTCTGAAAGCATCGGTAAAATGAATCCTCATTTACTACCCTTGTGAAAAATTGCCTAGCTCTGATGTTCTGCTATAAGAGATAAAATTAGCAGAGGGCATTTGCGTATGATATGCCTGTACATAAGCCATCTATCAAACATTTAGCATGGAATATATATTTAATGTGTATTAGCATAGGAAGAAAAACAGAAAAGAGGGCTCTTCTACACTGCAAGTACTACTGATAAGAGATCCCATCGATGAAACCCCAGAATTCTCTTCTTACCATGAATAGTGAATATTTTTTCTGGAACATGAATTTTTAGACTGCTTCCTACCCTTGGGAGGCTAAAACCCATCATAATTGCAGAATGGGAGCCACTTCTGAAATAACCCATCTGTTCTTTTCACTTTTAAAAGGGTTATTGTGTTTTGTTCCCATATTATGCTACTTTCTTTTAGAATGGTTTTGCAAAAAATGCATTTAATATTGAGAACCAATTTATGTCTCTGTCAAGAAGCTTGATTGGATGTATTTTGTACCAACTTTGGCCATGACATTTCACTCAAGGAGAGAATTGCTGCCTTCAGGCTTTGGTTTAAATCTAAAAACATCTTATGATGCCCCAGTTCATCATTCACTAAACTGCTGTGATACCAGAAATCTTTGAATGCTAGAAGGACATCAATGAAGAGGGATGGTGTGTGTGTGTGTGTGTGTGTGTGTGTGTGTGTGTTCCCACAATAACTACCATCCAATAACCTGCCTCCCCACAACATGGAAAGTCCTATCAGGCATCACAGCTACTAAGCTATAGGGCCCTATGAACCAATACATGAGCAATCTGAGAATGGCGTTGGGATCAACACTGGAGACAACAGTTGATCATACCATAGATATAGCAGTTTTCCAAAGACTCAAGATCTAGACAGATCTATAGAAACTTGGGGCTACCACACTAGATAGGACGTGAAGTGCAGACTATGCAGAGAAACCTCAGAGACTGTCCAAACACATAAAGGCAGGTTGTAATATGCCAGCAGGAATAAGGTACAGTGAAAAGCATAAGCAAGTAGCCGGTACTGCCTACATGAACATTTGCACAATATAGGGGCTAGACCAGGGGTGTCAAACTCAAGGCTCATGGGCCAGATCTGACCCACAAGGTGCTTAGATCTGGCCCACGGGGCCACCCTGGAAACAGTGAAGGACTGGCCCGTGGTCCAGAGGTGGTATTCATCAGATTCTGGCCAGTTTTGGAGAACCGGTAGCGGAAATTTTGAGTAGTTCAGAGAACCGGCAAATACCACCTCCAACTGGCCCTGCCCCCACCTATTCTCTGCCTCCCGAGTCCCAGCTGATCGGCTGGGTCTTCTTTTGTTGCCCTGCACAGGAGAATGGAGCTGGAAAGCAGATTAGTGGGGTGGGGAGGGAATGGAGATTTTACAGTATCCTTCTGCTGCCATGCCCACCAAGCCATGCCTACCAAGCTACACCCACAGAACCGGTAGTAAATATTTTTGAATCCCATCACTTCCATGGTCCCTCTGCCAGCAAAAATGGAGCTCGGGAGGGCTGCGAGCTTTGTTTTCACTGGCAGAGGGTTGCAGGAGGCCATCACAGCCGAAAACTGCGGCCATCCCAAACTCCGTTTTTGCTGGCAGTGAGGACAGGAGACCACCAGTAGTCCATTTTCTCTAGCAGAGCATCGCGCCACCAAAGGCACCCCTGACACAATGTCAAGCTGGCCAGGCCTACCCTGGCCACGCCCACTCTGGCCCCCTGAGGTCAAACACAACCCTGATGCAGCCCTCAATGAAATTGAGTTTGACACCCCTGGGCTAGACCCTCCCAAGTCCAGAAAGTCATGTGGAATAACAGGCTAAGATCCTGTGGGACTCCTAGATCCAGATGGCCATGCAAGTACCGGCCAATCAACCAGACACTCTGCTAGTAGATACGGACCAGATACAGATATGATCACAGTGGTGATAGATGTAGCAATGCCAGATGAGCAGCATCAGAAAGAAGGAGTATGAAAAGCTGGAGAAATACCAGGGCCTGAAGGAGAAATGACAAGAGATGTGGAAAGTAAAGACCAAAGTGGTCCCAGTCATGGAGGAGCAGATAACAGATAACAGATAATCAGAGTTGGAAGGGACCTTATAGGTCATCTAGTCCAACCCCCTGCCCAAGCAGGAGACCCTACAACATTTCTGACAGATGGTCCAATCTCTTCTTGAAAGTCTCAAGTGATGGTGCTCCCACAACTTCCGAGGGCAAAAGCTGTTCCATTGGTTGATTTTTCTCACTGTCAGAAAGTTTCTCCTTATTTCCAGGTTAAATCTCTCCTTGTTCAGTTTCCATCCATTATTCCTTGTTTGGCCTACAGGTGCTTTAGAAAATAGCTTGACGCCCTCTTCTCTGTGGCAGCCCCTCAAATATTGGAAGACCGCTATCATGTCTCCCCTGGTCCTTCTCTTCACTAGACTAGCCATGCCCAGTTCCTGTAACCGTTCTTCGTATGTTTTAGTCTCCAGTCCCCATATCATGCTATCTCTGAAGGAGCTATTTGCACTTTGCATCCTCCATTAATTTGCAATTTGTACTCCATTAATGAGTACTTATTCAGTATAGCAACTCAAGCACTCAGGGCTGGGACTCCTAAGCTGGGAGACTGTTTCCAACATATCCCAGGAATGACATCAGAGCTTCTAGCCCAAAGATGCAGTGCTAGGAACAGTTAAGATACTGCAAGAACCCTCAAACTCCCACTGTGCTAACATATAAGCAGCCTGCATTTGGCTATTACAGGAGATGCACTGTATTTTAATATGGATCCGATCAGGATATTTCATTGTTAAAATTGAAATGTATCTAGTTTTTCTCATAAACCGGCTTCATGTCTAAGGATAGACTTAGCACTGATATCACGCTATCTCTGAAGGAGCCATTTGCAATTTGCATCCTCCATTAATTTGCAATTTGGACTCCATTAATGAGTACTTATTCAGTATGGCAACTCAACCAGCTGTGGGTCTATTTTAGAACTCCCTGGCTTACATTGTAGCATCTTGTCAGCAAGAAAACCATAGATCTTTTCGTGTGCTTTGCTGAAATCAAGACAAATGTTGCCCGAGCATCTCCACTAACTATCAGACTACCATCTCTATTTTGAAACCAAAAACATATAGTTAAAATGAACCGATCTGGTTTATTCTTGCTTGACCCACAATACTCTTTTTAGCCCTCCAACAAGAAATAGGAAAAGATATGTACAAATCACAAATCATATGGGGATTCTTTATTTCCCCAATCCATTTTTCCTGAATCTTCTAGTTTGCTTGCTGTTCTCCAATTTCCTTGTACTTTCTAATGATCGGATGATCCCTGTCCCAATTTACTTATTTTTAAATAGTTTCAGCTTTATATTCAATTTCTGCCAATTTGCCATCAATTTTATGTTATAGGAATCCTACTGTATTACAAAATTCCCACTGTTATTAATGCCATTGATAACACACACACACACACACTTACTTACATCAATACAGCAGATAGAAACAGAAGATGATTCCTTGTGATTCTATTGGTAACTGAATCATATAAATGAGCAGACAGAATAAATCTCAGATGTGATTGTGTTCTGTCTAGAACAGGGGTCTCCAACCTTAGCAACTTTAAGACTTGTGGACTTCAATTCCCAGAATTCCCCAGCCAGCTTTGCTGGCTGAGGAATTCTGGGAATTGAAGTCCACAAGTCTTAAAGTAGCCAAGGCTGGAGACCTCTGGTCTAGAAGATCAAGAATAAGCTTTGTATAGAGGGTTTTGTATATAGTTGCTAAATTTTATTTAGGATGTCGATGTGAGGCATTTAATGTATTTAACACCTCATCCTGAGGTGTTAAATAACATGAGGCCAGGTTAGACAGCCATTATTAGGCTTCCTGCTTTGGATAGGAGTTTGGATCAAAAGAGCTCTAAGATACCTTCCAAGGTTCCCTCCTTGGGACTCTATTCCCTCCCACCCACCCCCACCCACCCCCACACACCAAAGAGCCAACACTTGGCTGTCGCCAAGAGGAGATGAAGAACAGGTCAAACCGAGAGCTGTCTGGTTCTCAGGTCAGGATAGAACAGAAAATGTTCAGCCGAAGGGTTTCCGGGACTTATGTTAACCTTGACAGACTTTTGTGACTACCTGGTTCCAGAGAAGCTCCGTCTCTTTCCGTGCCAGTCCTAAGCTTATCACTGGCTTATCACTTGTCAGGAAGGAAGAAGCCGTGCCAGCCAGAGATATGTGGAGGAAGCTAGAAAGGGCTCTTCCCAGGGAATGCCCTCAAGGCAGAGATCTTGGTTTCCCCTCCCTTTTTTTCTGACTGACAGCCGGGAATACCAAGTGACCAAGAAAATAATAATAATAATAATTTTAAAAAAAAATACAGAGAAACCCGAAGTTGGCAGCCAACTACCGGTAGTTCCACTGCAGAGTTGGGGGCTGCAGAGGCTTTCTGGATCAAGAGAGCGGGCGGGGGAGACAGCCGGCACCGTGCCCAGCAAGAGGGACCTTCAGTTGTTGGCTCGCCCGCCTCTCCAGCGTCTCCCAGAGGCGTCTCCAGCGTCTTTCCTTCTAAAGTTAAAGAGCAGCCGCAGTCTATCCCGACTGGAAAGGCAGGCGGTGAGCACACAGCAGCCGGAGCCCCTTTAGCCCTAAGGACGCACCTGACTCGGGAGCCGGGCGGGCAGCGAAGGCGCCCCGCTCGCAAACCTGGACCGGATCTGCGCAGGGAAAGCGGGACCCATTGGAGGGGAAGCTGCAGCTGGAGGAAGAGTCCGGTGGATTCCCTCCGCTCTCTCTTCTCCCACCTCCCCCCACCCCTCGCCCCCCTCACTCCTCGCCTTAGAGGGCCCGGCTGGGTCCGCTGCTCTGGAGCGGAACGGAGGAACTTTCCCTTCGATTGAGCACCGGGAGCTGGGCTGCGAGATCTGTAATGGCTAAGGATGTCTTCGGAGGGGGGAGCAGAGCCATCCGCTGGAAATAGTCCAGAAGCAGCAGTGGCAGCGGCTGCAACTACAGATGCTAGCGAGGAGGTGAGAAGCCAAGGGCGTCTGGGGGTCTCTAAGGCACTGTGTGTGGGCAACGCCAGGCGGACCGAGTGGGGAAAACGGGTCAGTCTGTACCTGAGGATGCGTGTACCACTGCACCCATCCTCAACAGAGCCAGCGCCAAGGCTATATTGGTACCCCAGAATGAAGGGACTTTGTGTATCCGTGCAACTTGTATGTGGCACTGGGAGAATTAATTAAGGAGGGGAAGGTGGAACCAAAACCACTGATATCACTCGGATTCTTTTAGATTAGGCCTTTATTGAACTCACACAAAAGTGTTGTTGAAAATAGGTGGAGGAAAACAATAATAAGGCATGATGGGGCCTTTTTTCATTTTCTTTTGTAGAAATATTATTATTATTAATAATAATAATAATCAAAAACATAGAGTTGGATATCTGTCCTGGTAATCTCTAGTGTGTGTGTGCGGGCATGTGTGTGCATTTGTGTGTGCACACTCAACTTTTTCTTATGATAAGATGGATGTGCAAGAGAAATTTTTGTTGTGTTACGTTGTGTAAACTTCTCTTCCTTGGGCCTTCCCGGGGCAGTAACCAGCCAACCAAAATGTATTGTTTTGCCCATCAAAGGTGATCAAGTTTAAAGCCTTTTCCAAATGCAGAGAAAGAAAGTTTCCAATGTTTTGAAAATCTTTCTCTGGTGTAAGAATGAATATATGATTCATTCTTATTCTGTTAGGTTCAAGGATCTATGAGAACTATAACCTGAGTCCCCCCCACTCCACCCCCTTTTTTTGCTCCAGATTTCCTCCCTAGTTTTTAGGAATATATCCAGAGTGAGTTTTCTCTGATAAACAAGTGCTCTCTCACTCCCTGCTTTGCTGCTGTTTGAGTGACATTTCGTACCATCGGGCTTCCAAATTAAAATGTGCTGATCTGAGAGATGGAGCATAACCAATCGGTTTTCCACCTGGGTCCACAAAACACACTGCAGATATATTTGTCCGTCGTGGTGCAAACAGCTAACCACAACTACAAAATGTCAATAGAATCAACTCGTAAATGATTTTGTAATCATAAATTTGATGTTGCAAATTCAAAGGCCTGCGTGGTATACACAAGGCCCCGAATACGATCTAAAAAAAGAATGTTGCTGAATAAAAACAAGGGCTTATCTAGCCTAACATAAGGATTCCTCACTGGCCAAGCAGAGAACCCGGCCAAATCCTTGTTGGATGTGAGCACGACACCATTAGCCCACGACATTCATTTTTTATGTGTTAATGTATTCCAGGCTTTCTTCTTCAGGAATTTAAGCCAGCATACTTAGTACTCCTGCTTCCAGTTTTATCCCCATGACTCTGTAAAATACATTCAGCTGAAGCAGTGCCTGATCAAGGTCATCCAGTGATTTCAGCCACAATGGACTTGAAGTGGGTCTTCCCAGTTCCAGGACAATTTTTTAAAATACTGGCCCATATTATTTCCTTTAGGCTCCCAATAATTAGTACTTAGAGGCATGTTTTTCTAATACTATAGAAATAGCATTATATAAATGCTATTCCTAAAGGAAATCAAACCTGATTGTTCTTTGGTAGGACCGATGTCGAATCAGAAGTTCAAGCACTTAGCAATAGCAATAGCACTTAGACTTATATACTGCTTCATAGTGCTTTACAGCCCTCTCTAAGCGGTTTACAGAGTCAGCATATTGTCCCAACAACCTGGCTCCTCATTTTACCTATCTCAGAAAGATGGAAAGCTGAGTCACTTAGACCCCCTCATGAGAAGAGGGGAGTCGCTGGAAAAGACCCTGACGTTGGGGAATGATTGAAGGCAAAAGTAGAAGAAGATGGCAGAGGATGAGATGGTTAGACAGTGTCAATAATACAGTGAACATTGATTTGGACAAACTCTGGGAAACAGTGGAAGGGGGCTAGGCATGCTATGGTCCATGGGGTTGCACAGAGCCAGACACAACTTGGCAACTGAACAACAACAAAAATAAATATTACTGTACTATAATACTATAGTAATAAACCATCATTTCAGTATCTGTCTAACTTTAAATTTAAATTGGTCTAACTTTAAATTTAGTAGACCCCAATCTTTTGTTATTGGAATAGTGCAATAGAGTTTTCTTTCATTTGGTTACAGCAGCTTACTTGAAAAATCGTTCATACTAATATTGTGAGATCTCTATCACTATCACTCCCCCTGTCCTTTTTAAAAGGTTAAAAGAGCCCTTTAAATTGTTACTTTGCCTTTCACAAAAGTTGTTAAAGTGTTTAGTTTGTGGTTATTTCTTTCTACACCTGTCCATCTCTACAGCATCTTTTTTAAGGTCTCACAACCAGAATGTTAGACGTTATCTAAACTGTAGTTGAACACATTGTGCTTAAATTGCCATGATTCTGAAAATAGTATTTTCATAGTAATATTGTAATGGTGTCCAAGTAAAATTTGTCTTTTTCACAGTAGCTTTAAAATAGGTCAATGTTTTTAATCAAGTTTTATAAGCATCACTTTGCTGGGTAGTCACTTCCAATTCCAGAGAGAGAAAAGGGGAGACAAAAATGGACCTCTCTCTTTTGATAATTGCTGACATGACTGTATTTGCCATTTCAATCCTTATTCCACTGATTTCTTGTAGTTCTTAGAAAAAAGTCATTATTTTTGCTTTTATTTATTTATTGATTTGATTTGATTTGTGTGCCCCCCATCTCGTTTAGAGGCATTGGCCATTCTAAAAAATTAGTTCATCCCCTAGCCTAATTATCCAGTTAATTTATAAGCAAGTTTAAAAACATTGCTCTCAGTACAAATTCTGGTGGAATCTTTCTGATGTTGTTGTTATACTCTGTTTGTGTCAAACTGAAGGCAGCAAACATACCCAGGATACTCTTTCACTGCACAAATAGCTCTTTATTCCAACACTTTCTCTTCCTGTCCTGGTTCTGAGTCCATAACTTGAGAATTCCTCTAGTTCCCTTGTCTGCTAAGGGATAAATCTTTTAAAGTGCACATAAACACTTTCACTGGATTGTTGATGTCTTCCTGTCTAGTGGCAATCTCATGGGGCTCTAAAACATTATTAAAAGCAAGATCTACCTTCGCAAAAGTTACCCTAATTTCTCTTCAGACTCTTATCATTTTATAGAGACTCTTCCAGTTCTCTATTATTATTTGATTAAAAAAACAGTTTAAATTGGTCACTTTTATATCCTTTGAGAGAAAAATAATGTTAGGACAATATTATATACTGTATTTTTCTCAAAAGGACAGCAATTCCCTACCTGAGTTCTACGGTAGGAATCTTACCTTAAGGAATTGAGCCAAAAGGATTAGAAAGGTATAAACTGATTTTTATTTTTTTAGAATACGGTGATCATCTCATTCCTAAGCAGCCAAGGGAAGGGTCCCAGCCTCGAGTCTTAGAATGATTACAAAGTTAGTTTACAGCTATAGATAAGAAATACAAATAGGACCAAAAGGAAGCTAGGGTCATCTTCTTGTCTCCCACAGAAAATTTTTCTCTATATACCATGATCAGGACACCAAAGGCACGAACACTTCAATTATCAATGACTTGTTGACTAACATGTTTCCCCCAAAATAAGACCTGTCCTGAAAATAAGGCCTAGCTTGATTTTTACACATGTACCCAATAAGCCTACCCCAAAAAATAAGCCCTAGTTATTCCCGCTCGCATCTGGCTGTATGACGTGAGGTGAGGCGTATGTGTAAAAATCAAGCTAGGATGGGGGTGGGGGATGCAGGTGCTCCATATGCCCCACACCTGCTTATCTTGTTTCACTGATGGAGCTGTGAGTGGCTGAATGCTGTGTGGTGCATTGTGCCATCGTGCACGCAAGTGGCAGCACCAGCAAGACGAGACTTGTGGTGTTCTTCCACAAGTGGCTCTACCAGAGCAACATGCCTTGCAGCATTCCACTGCCAGTGACTGTACTGGTACAACAAGCCTTGTGGCACTGTGCCATGAACAGCTCCACTGATGGAACAAGCCTCACGGTGTTGTGCTGAAAGCAGCTCCACTGGCGCAAAGCCTCATGGCATTCTGCTGTGAGCAGCTCCACAAGGCTTGTCGCCACTCATGGCAAATGTTGCAAGGCTCGTAGCACTGGTGGAGGTGCTCTCAGCAGAATGTTTTCCCCGGACAGAGAAATGACAGAAACTCAAAGCTTCATGTACTTGCTAGGAGAGTTTGAAATGGACCAATAAGCTTCATCTCCCTCTGGGCATAAAGTGTTTGTACAGATACCACTGACCATGGCCTCTCCATCCCAGTGTCTGCTTGTCTGCAGCCTTAATTGGGTCCAAGCTCTCAGCACACCCTGGCCTCCACCTGCCCTGCCACAAGAGCGAAGAGCCTCCACAAGGTGCTGTGGCCAAGAAATGTCCCAGCAGAAGCTGGGCCAGCAGGCAGGGCAAGTGGAGGCTGGGGCATGCCAAGAGCTTGGCCCATTGCAGCTGTGGGCAAGCAGACAATGGGATGGAGAGGACGGGGCCTGCTCCCTGCACTTAAAAAAAATAAGACCTCCCTAAAAATAAGTCCGAGTGCTGATTTTCTAGGCCAAAAGAAAATAAGGCCGGGTCTTCTTTTCAGGGAAACACAGTATATAATAAAATTGTTTTTTTCTTGGTAGAGGTTTCTTGACCAGCTCTACCTGAAATTCTGATATTCCTTCCAGTGGTGGGATTCAAAAATTTTTTACTACCAGTTCTGTGGGCATGGCTTAGTGGGCATGGCATGGCTTGGTGGTGTGGCTTGGTGGGCGTGGCAGCGGAAGGTTACTGCAAAATCCCATTCCCTCCTCAACCCACTAACCTGCTTTCCGGCCCCGTTCTCCTGTGCAGGGCAACAAAAGAAGACCCAGCGGATCAGCTGTGACTCAGGAGGCAGCAAATAGATGGGGGTGGAGCCAGTCAGAGGTGGTATTTGCCGGTTCTCTGAACTACTCAAAATTTCCATTACCGGTTCTCCAGAACCTGTCAGAACCT